TGGCCGGGGTCGCCACTTCCCTTTCTTTACCAGCCTCTCTGGCAGCCTTTCTTCTCCTTCTGGCACCACCACTCAGGCGTTTGCCACGCTTTCTTCGCTCTTTCTTTTTATCTTGGTCCTCCCCCTCCTCTTTTTCCCTGTGAACAGACTTGCCTTCGCCTTCATGGGCTACTCGCAAGACTACCCCCCCTTCACTGGAAGAGCTGCCGTTGCTGCTGGATTGGTGGGATGAGGCCACTGGTGCGGGCCGAGCATGACGTACCCGTTCCTGTGGGCCCGTGGGGAGCTTTGGTACGTATGCCATTCCTTTTACTACCTCGGTAAAAGAGGCTTTAGCAGTAGGAGCCTCTGTAGAGGCTTCCCTTTTTTCAGGTGTAGGGGATGGTTTGGTCGGCTCTGAAAAAACAAGGGAGGTGCTTCGAGGTACAGCAGGAGGGGGGCGGCAGCGGGGGGACAACTTTACCTGAAGGGCTTCAATTTCCTCTCCTTACTTGCCAACAATGTCGGTCAGTGCTTTTACTGCCCGTTCCAAGACATGAACTCGACTCCAGTAGTTTATCCCATTCCTTGGACCTTCATCGTCGAAGGTGGGGCCACTGTTCATCCAAGTTCGTACGTCCTGTACTGTGTCATCTTCAATTGACCCGGATTCCGATGAGAGCAGAAGTTGAGTATTGCCAGACCGGATATCCTCCAGGCCTTCTAACATGGACCCTATTACACTACCTGAGCGGGGTCCAAGAGAGGGAGTCCTACCAGCATCCAGCATCTCACAGACACCAGCCATGATCGAGTCCGCCTGAGCCACCATAGTGTCGGCGTCCTCAGGTTGGGTTTCGGGGAGTTGGACTTCCAGTGGGGTTGAACCGCCACTGGGGGCTGCTGAGGGACCCTCTAGTTGGCCTCTGGGAGGTGACACCCATTGTCCAATAATAGGTGGAGGTGATGAACCCATAGCTGGTGAATGGGTGTGTATGCTGTCGCCCAAACCAGTCACTTCCGAGTTGTGTCCACCATCCAGTTCCATAGGAGTGTCCCTAGCCAACACCTCAGAGGTGGGTAGGACATCCTCAGTCATTAGCGGGGATGGAGAAGAGGGTGTGGCCTCGATTGTTGATGGGAGCACCACAGGTGGAGGGATAGCTAAGCGCCCTTGGTGAACGTTCAGGGGTAGGCTAGGAAGAGCAGGAATAACCTGTTTTTTCCGTCCTTCATCAACGTTGATAGCTCTCAAAAAATGGGGTCCAAGGAGAGGAGCAGCAGATCACTTAATAGGAGATACCGACCGTGTCCGGCGCCATGTTCCTGAGGCAGGAGGGTTATAATCCTCGTCATTAGGGTCGTCCAGTTTGAACTTAGGGGTTTCGTAAAGAGCCCTTTCACCTGAAGACATTCCTGCCAGAAAGGAGGGAGTCGAGGAACTGGTCCCGGCATTGTGGGCCTGGTGGAGGAAGCTGGGCATCTTGCTTTGGACAGCCCTAGCGAGGGGAGGTGTAGCCGACCAAGAGCTAGCCTCAACCGTAGTAGTAGTCGAGTTGTCCTTGGTGGGGGGGATGGAGGATTCAGGGACTACAGCCTGAGAATCTTTGGGAGGGGAGGGTGTGGGGGCTGGAGAATATTCCAAACCATGGTCCGAATTGAACCGAACGAAGAGTCCTCTGGTAGTGTCCTTGTTCAAGCCACACGTGGCTGAACAGCCTCTCCCGATCAGGAAACCTCTCACCAAAACCTCCACTTCTTTCATCGTGGCAACGGTCGCGTCAGCGACCATTTGCCGGACCAAATCATCAAACTGCGGGTTAACCGCGTTCTGACACCCGTGGCAGTGGTGGAACTGTAAAAACTTAAAGTTTCCTCTGGGTGCAACATAAGATCGTGTAGTTGTAGGGATGAGGCCACGGTCGGCCTCAGTAGCGGGCGCGAGAGACAAGGCCGCACGGCCTGTCTCAAGCGAGGAGGAGGGGTTGGAGTCGAACCAAATAGGGGACGACATCCTCGAAGGGGGTGGAGAATCCATGGTGGAGGAGGCTGTCGAAGACGCCATCCTCGCCCAAACTATACTCAGTGATTACCGGGACCAGGCCACGGATATCTCACACTGAAGTATCTTCTAAGCGAGAACAACAACTTCTAACAGACCGCCCGAAACGAAAAACACAAACAAGTAACAGCAGATAAAGTATTTATCGCGAGCGAAATGAGGTCAAGTATTGGTTATGCTCACTTCCGACACGGAGTGCAAGAAGTAGGAAAAGTACTTAGAACAAAGCGTGAAGAACCTATCCTCCTCGGCCTCCTTCTATAGTGTTCTTCCTACTCATAGTCATGTGACCCAAAGTGATCACATGTGCGAAAACAAATCATAACAAACTAGTCATATGACCATAGTAGTCACATGCTCCAAACCGATCACCTCATAGTGGGGTCATGTGCGAAAACTCATAAACCAATCATAACATCAATAAACAAGTCATATGACTCAACTAAGTCATATGCATGAAACCCATGACCTTATAAAGAGGTCATGTGAGAAACATAAATCATATGCGCAAGGCCTACCCGCAAGGCACACTCGCAAGGCATACTCGCTAGGCGCACTCACAGGGTATACTCGTCAGGCACACGTCCCATAACTCATATTTGAGCCATGTGCAAAAGTATCCCAAATCCCACACATAATAAATCATATGACTCGAATGAGTCATATGTGTGAAACAATAACATACCTGTGACTCATAACCATGTGTCACCTGAAAACCTTTCCCTCGCCAAGCCACATTCATGACAACTGCTGGAAATCGCTAAGAATGGCCAAGAACAACAAGAGACAACCAGAAACAGCAACTGACTATTGGGGATGGCCAGGGATACAGTCACAGTTCACTATTACAGATTTCGCTAATCCAAATACCTTGCTGTCACATATGAATCTCTGTGAATTCTGAATTTCTTTCCACCAAAACATTACCTGTTGTCTCAGATCCCTTGCTGTACTAGACAGATTCTTGGAATTTTAGCCATTGTAGATAGCAAGGTGTGACTAAAGTGGAGAAAGGCCAGGAATGGTCAAGGAAGGCTGTAGATAGTAATAAATATCAGGGAATAGTAGAAGATAGTAGTGGATGGCCAGGAATGGCTGAGGATTGTTGGAGATTGTTGATATCTCTACCTGCATATATTGTTTTCAATTTCTAAAATTCAAAATATTATATATTGCACTTTGTGGATATGGTAAATACCCTTCGTCTTACTTTTTTCCCCCTCCACTTTCAGAGTCTTGGCAGCAACTCACAGCCAATTAGAATTGGAGCTATTCCAGTTTCCCCCCAAATCGTCCTCCAATCACAGCTGAGTTCGCCTCATTTATGCTCACCCTATGTACAGTACAGTACTCTGGTGCGAATCTGAACAAAAAGATATGCCCTCCCTTCGCTTGTTCAGGATCTACGCACTTTTGGCACAATACAAAGATGCAATTTTAACTTAGCGACAAATACCCCATAAATATTGACCGTGTCCGGGCCAGTAAATTTGCTGTCCGGATCCGTCACGATAGAGGCGATTTTTTATTCATCCATTTTGGGCAGGCTAAGCTTTGCACGGTATGTTCAGGCGCTCGGAAACGAGTCGGCTGTTGCGGCTCTTTTGCGGCTCGCTTTGCTTATTCGTCACGTGAGCCATCACTCACAAGCCTCCAATCTAGCCCCGAGATTCCTTGTTACGAGTCTTCCGCACCTCAAAACACTGAAAGAGCTCGACTCACGGAAAACGACAATCCGACTGAAAGTTGACGACTGACGCTACCTGTGCTACAGATCATCGGATAGCGATGCTCGTGCTAGCCTATGAAAACCCGGAACGACAGGAATATTTGCGCGATTCGCTTAACTTGTCGATTGACGGACTCTCTCTTTGAGAGTCTCTTCTCTCCTATTCACGAGATTTTGATGGGTAGTGAGGAGCGGACTATATTCACGTGGGCTTTTCGTACGAATCACCTGTTCGAGGATCTTCCCCGCGTATCCGTCAAACGGCCATTGGGTTACTGGTTAGAAGGACAATGCCCCGACCAGGGCGGGGCAGCAGTATAACCCTATGTTCCTAGATTTTATCTCTGTACTGGTCGATATTCTTATCTCTTGTTTTGCTCTAGGAGGCTTTGAATCCTGCCTCTTTGCGCCGGACACCCCTGACTGCGATCCATGGGGGGCTGCCAATATCTCCGTCTAGAAATTCACCCTCCTCAATCGCGTAGCTAGCCGTTGGGCTAGCTGCCTCCGCTATCGGTTGGATCGGTGGATGGAATTGTTTGAATTCACCTGACAGATTCGTGAAGGTGCATTTGATAGACCCAAACACGGCCCGGGACGTGCGGTGGGGAATGCAGACTATCATAATCCATTCCCCACAAGCATTGCAGTAATGGGCTTACAGCTTCGCGGTCCGCCCCGGGTACCAAATATTCCAGGTCGAGTCCGGTTCGTAATTTTGAAATTTGGCTTGAGCGGGTAGTGGGTTCCACACCGGTTAACCTGGTGGTCCCATTAAATGGGCGACGGTGCATGCCAGGGAAATTAGGCTCACATCCACCAACTCGAATTCTTAATTCGGGGGATACAGGCAGAATTATTTGTGGTTACCAAAACTTCATTTATCCGCTCAGTACTACTGCTGGAGTTGTGGGCTGTGGAGAGGAGTTCCCAGCCAGGCGCTCAACTTTAATCCGGCGTGGATAACTTAAGAGGGTGTTTAGCTAGGTGCTGCTGCATAGTTCTTGTGCTTGAATAGGTGGGAGTAGAGCCATCGGATATCCGAAGGAATATTATTATATAGGAAATTCTCTAATCTGTCATCTCTGTTTTGTTGCCGATCCCTCGCGTTGTGTCACAGGCTTTGAATGTAGATGGTAGCATCGGGGAAACGGGAGACTTCAAGCTTCAACCTAAAAGATAGGTATATGAAAGAGGTGGGTACCATACAGGATAGCATACATCAATGCGCCAATAACTGTGTCACGTTTCCCATCAGGTACAATTTCGTGAGCCCATCCCATAACCCAGTTCCATACAAAAAATAGCAGGGAAAAAAAAAAGTAAAAAACATCACGTCATGAGAACATTACAATTTTCGCCGCTCATGTCCTGTATGCCCCCTCCTCTATCCCCTCCATGATTCTCCAACCCTCCCACATTAAATTGCACCCCCTACGAAGGCCTAATCCTCTTCCCCCTGCCAGCTTCCCCCGCCTCCTGTGTCAAGGGCACAGTCTGCCCTGGAGCATTTAGAACAACAATTTTGCGCTTTTTGTTGGATTCGGGTACGTCCTTGGCTGCGGTGGTGTCCTCGACACCTTCTTTGGCGACGTTCTTCCTATTGACGTCTTTATCCTTCCCATCTACACCCCTAGCTTTAGTCCTCTTCCGGTCCACCTCCGGCGAGGGGGAGGTGTCATCCTCTTTCTCCGCATCTCCACTCTCATCACTGTCGCAATCATCCTCCGAGTCTTCCTCCTCCTCGTCGCCAGGTGGAACAAACTCCCCGTCATCCTCATCATCGCTGCTCTCAAATTCCAAGACCATTCCAGGAGTGAAATACTCCTTTCTCATCTTCTTCCTGATAACCTTCTCGCCGTCGAGGACGCCCCCAGCACTAGAATCATCAGAATCACTAGGTTTGACCCGTGACCTCTTTCCTAGAGTGCTAAGCAATGAAGCAACCCGCGCTTTGGAAGGCTTTGCATGTCGCATTTTCGGCCTTTGAATCGATTTATGTGCCGTTTTATTCTTCTTGTCAGGTTTGGCTTCTTTGGCTACTACTTCGTCTTCGAAGCGTACAGAGCGTCGGCGCTTCTCCGGCTTCGCTGGGACCGGTCCAGCGGTAGAAATGCCGGATGCGGCGGCGGCAGTTGCGGCATCTTTGAGGAGGGTCTCTGCGCGGGAGATGCATTGCGTAAGGGGCTGGGAATGGCCCTTGTTTGCTGCAAGGAGCTTTAGGAAACGGAGGTGGCCGCGTAGTTGGGAGGCGTGGATTTCATAGACGCGGTTCCAGGGGATGTTTTTTGGGGTGGTGGCTGTCGGCTTGGGGGAGCTGGTGGAGATGGCCTCGGCCATCTCGACTTCAAGCGCAGGGGAATAGGTAGCTTTGGGAGCTGATCGCTGATGTGAAAGTGAGCGGGGTAGGGTTGTATATAGTGGGTCTGATGGTAAGGGAGGCGGTAGGTGGACAAAATTGTCGAAGGGCCCCTTTACAGGGGTGGCACTGGTGGTAGATGGGTTACGTGGGTTACGGGTTCCGGGAACGGAAAGTTTCGATCTGCAGAATTTGGGACGAAAAGTCGAAGCTAACTGAGATCTCGGAGAAGCGGGAACTGGCGCAGAGTTAGCTGTTGCAGTTATCTGATACTTTAGGACAGACAAACCAGCTGCGTTAGCAGAGTAAGAGCTATAGGATGGCTTGATGGAATAGGGTAAGACGGGGGAGCTAGTAGCCCCAGAGAAAGCGGGTTTTTCTGCAGAGTCCAGGAGCGATTCACGCAACAGCTGAGCTTCGGCTGTATTGCTTCTCTCTAGACCACTAAAAGCACCAATACCGGAAACCGTGAATAGCTTGGACTGAAGATCGCTAACGAATGGGAGAGCGAAGTGGGTCTTCTGGTAGGGAAATTGAAAGAATCCGGGTGCAGGTTTTGTGTCCGAGTTTGTGAGACAGGCAGGATCAGTAGACTCAAGATCCTTAGCTAAACACACATGATCCACAGACTTGGCTGTCGCGCTAGGGAAAGGAGAGGTGGCAAGTGGTGGTGCGAAATGCTTGGTTTGCTGATAGCTTCCGTAATACTCGTCCTCGTCCTCGGAGCCGGAAGTGGATTTTTCGCTTCCGGAAAGATAATCCTCGGCAGCGTTAGTCGAGTGCGAATCTCCCGCAGTGCAAATACCCTGTGCGTAATTTATGGAAGCGGTGATGTTGGAGGGAAAGTCGATCAAGGGCTTGAAGATGAAGTTAAAAGCTGCCGCAAACGACATGGTTAGATGATGACGACGTGTGGGTGGTGAGTGGGGAAGGTGGTGAGGTGAAGTGGACAAGGAGGAAAAGAAAAGGCGGAGGGTTAAGACGGCGAAGGAAGCAAACATGAGGAGGTAAACAAGAAACTGCCCTAAGGAACAACCATCCATCACGAGTTCATAGGGAAAAGGGCAAGAGCGCGCGAACAATGACAACAGTAAATTCATAAACCTTGCCCCAAGCACTCCAAGGGTCGCTCCAAGTTGCGACGCGATATAACCCACCTATGAAAGAGTATGATATTAACGACGACCGCCTGAGGCAACCGATGGCGAATAGGCAAATAGGGCGTCACCGTGGGTTGAAACAATGATGATCGACAATCGCAGGAAGGCTCCCGGATGGTGGTGAAAGGGTTGATGATGATTACGGGTTTTGGCGAGATGGAAAATGACGTTCAGGGACGCCTTGCTCTTGGCAATTAACCCTAACCCTACCCTACACCTGATCTGGCGATGGCATTTGTATGGCGGGAGCGCGTAATCTGCAACTGGAGGGGATCCTGCGCGCGAAACCCGAGTTGTGGATGAACCACCAGTCGATTGGCATCACAGAGGAAGTGGGGGAGTTTTTTTCAACGTGTAATTCCCAGATACGACGCGACAGGACTTGACGAAAGTGGGTTTTTGGTCGCCAGTCTGAGTCATCTTCGTGTTCAAAATCTAGGCCCCGGGCCTCATTAACTGCGGTACCATAAATACGGTATCATAACCTGACAGCTCAATTTTGTGAAATTCTATGGTTATCATACCTCCCAAGCTCTTCGATCCCCCCCATCACGCCCAAATTTAACAAAACGGCCCTGGGCCGGGCCGAGGAAAGCCTTCATCTGATGATAAATTAAAGGCGAAACCGGAGAAGCGATTCCACTGGTGTGTCTATGCTAGTCCCGGGCAGGAAGTATCCGGAAACCGGGGATTCGCAAAATATATGTCGCAAAGTCCGTGCTTATCAGGTCTGAGCGCCCTCACGAACCCACGACCCACACTTCCGGATACTCGATTACATCTTGTCTGGGACGAGTACTAGTACAAGTACTGTTACAGTCTCCACCGTAGTCGTGACGAAACTGGGCGGGCGACGAACAGGGGGTGATGACAGCCCTAAGCCGAATTCGAATATCAAAAAAGATCTCTGCACAGGGGGCTGAGTACATGTGTATATGCCAAAACAAGGCAAAGTCAAAGGACAGTAGTGAAACCACTTAGTAGCAATAGGTCCGATGAATATGGGGAGGGCAAATGATGTAAATTAGAGAGAGAAAATGAAGACCGGGAACTCAGAGGTGTTTCTCTCTGACGAAGATAAAGTCAAGTCAATTATTGAGTCAGAGGTAGTAGAGTCAGAAGAAATAGTCATTTTCGTATTGAAGAAATATAAAAGCTTAGAAGAAAGGAACAAGAAGTATGTAAATCGATACCTTTAATATTCCGCGAATTTGTCAGCTAATTGCAACCGCTATGATGTCCAACTCGATTCATTCCGAAGATATATCAACTTTGCGATTTAATCTAAGTCACGCTAGAGACTATACTCGCTCAGAACGAATAAAGCTAGCTTTAGCACAGTATCGCACAGAATTGCGGTATTTCGAAGCCAATCCTTCTAGCAAGAGACCAGTTGTGCTGCAGATAGCCAAGTTATATGATATATCAGAGGCAACCTTACGGCAACATATAAAGAATCCGGGACAGCAAACCAGTGACGAGTCAACAAAAAGAATACAGGCCCTAACAGTAGTGGAAGAATCGATACTAGAACAGCGATTAATCTTCTTGGATGACGCCAATATACCTGCTGACCGGGACACATTTTACCACCTAGCTCATTCGCTTCTCAGTCGCCGTGACCCAAATAGACAGCTCGGTCGTGACTGGATAAATCGATATATCGAGTGGCATCCAGATATTAAATATGTCTTAGCAAAAACTATAGCAACAAACCGAGCAAATGCACAAAGTTGGGATATAATGGATGATTTCTTTGCAAAGGTTAGTTTTGTTTACTTATTCTAACTTTTGTAAAATAAAATAAAAATACCTATTACATTAAATACATAGCTAATCAGGATATTAATATTAATAAAAAATTAGCTTGACCATGCAATTAAAAAGTACAATATCGCACCACGAAATATCTACAATCTGGATGAGAAAGGATACCAGCTAGGAATTGGGAAGGCAGTAAGGCGAATAACGAGGGTTTCACGAAAGTCACAAGTTTATAAGGAACACCAAGTATGCGAGTCTTGCACAGTAGTAGAGTCAATATCTACTGATGGATTCAGTCTAACACCACTAATTATTTTCCGTGGCGAAAATCAATTAGCTGGTTGGCATAAAACAAAAAAAGAGATGAAAAATATTTCAGCCGGAAACCTATGCGAGGTATGTTTAAGTCTAGTCGAGCATTCTTTTACTACTTATACAAGTATACAATAGCAATGATTAATATTAGGTGTAGGGTATTTTTGGAGTGGAGAATGATAATATTCGATGGGTTCGGATCACATGTGGACTACACAGTTCTTGAGTATTGTTTGGAGCACAAAATACTGCCGTTATGCCTGCCTGTGCATACTTCACATATACTACAGCCTTTAGATGTTGGGGTGTTTTCTCCGATGAGTACCTACTATTCGCAGGAAGTAAATAGGTTTCAAGTTCCAGTCGACAAGGACTTATTTCCAAACCTGCTTGCACGAGCACATGAAAAGGCGTTTACAAAGGACAATATCCAGGCCGGGTTTCGAGCAACTGGCATCCATCCATACAATCCTCTTATTATCCTCAATACACTTTCCCTCCCAGAGCCAAGCATTCCACCTGATGGAGGTCGGCTATGATCGTGCGCAGATGTGGTCCTAGGAAGGTATGTTCTGGTTCATCATTTCTATAGAGGTTGCTAGCTACCGGTTCACTTTATAGTGAAAACTCTGCTCGTACATGTGAGCCCTAAATCCCTGCTATGCCCTATACCTCCATGCGTGCCCTAATATGCTTTCTCCAGTGCAACATACTACTACTGGGATTATTATACCATCACCACCATCCCATCCTCTTCCGCCGCGTCCCACAGTTTTGCAAAACCCTCGCGATCTCATTGAATATCAGCCAAAAACACCAACGACTCCTCGATCGATCCATGACCTTTATGTAGATGCGCTATCGGCAATTACATCCAATAGCCCATCCTCCATAAAGCTTCGAGCAGTTCTGACAAAGTTAAAGATGTCAGCAGAGAAAAATGCCGCGCAAGTTGTAATGCATGAAGAGGGGGAAAGTCATTTGCGTGAGCAAATACGGCAGATAACAGACAAGGGAAAGACGGACCGGCGGCAGTTGAACTCTGATTCTGCATGTGTTCTAGAGAAAGGCGAAGTTCTAGCAGATCTCAAACGGCGACGAGATCAAAAAGATTCTGAGCAAGCCGCCAAGCGTAGGAGAAAGAATTCTCAAGCCCAGTCACGACTGGGTAATCCAAATCCTGCCCTGCAGGACACGGCCGTGACACACTCAAACTCTCTGCCGCCATAGCGAAGTTTAGTATCTGAACTCACAAAAGCTGGAAGATGAAAGACATACCAATTCATTGAGGAGGAGTGGTACATTCTTTTTACTGGTATATTTTAGCACGAATAATTTTTCATTTTCATTTGGTATTTATTAGTTTTTTGTATTAGTCTTTGCTTTTCTTGGTTCTTGGAATCTATACCTACACTCATATCGTACTTTAAATATTTAAACCCGAATTTTGAATTCCCCTGGGGATCAAATCCAGGGGAAATGGGGTGGAGTGTTTGTCGGAAAGGAAAGAAACAAGGTTGTGGTAATTTCTTTGTCTGGTCACCGGAAAAATAGAACGGTTGTCGTTGCCTTATCCTCCAGGTTAGGGTTGATACCCCCCCCTGTTCGTCGCCCGCCCAGTTTCGTCGCGACTACGGTGGAGAGTGTACTCGAGTACAGTGCCTCCTGGGGGTCACATGATTTCCCGATCTGTTGTTTTGTGAGTTCGATGGGCATTCCCAGATGATAATTTTACGACGGAAATCCAAAGCTTAGCTGGGCGTTGATTACACCCCCACAACCAAGTGTCATATGCTGATCCTTATGACTGAGTGGGGTGATGGTGGTTACAGTACCAGCATTGGCCGGTTTCATACTCAGCATCAGCATTTCGAACGATAATACCATACAAACCATACAAACCGTAAACACAGGGTATGGGCAGAAAATGTCTTGACTGTCAACCGAGTTATTCCACCCTCAAACCCAGACCCCTGTTCCAGCTTTCTGACCAGACATTTTTCAACCATCGAGCTTGATTTAACATGAGTTTGGCCCGCAACCTTCTTAATCCAAGCAGAACCAATTCCAAATATCAATCTCTAATCTGCTAGTCACTACCTCAAAAACACCCCTTACTCCACTCCACCCACCCCCTAGAATACATCCACTTCTCGGTGGGCGGCGGCTGTGTGGAATTCACCTCCCTTCACCGCAGGATCTTTGTGAACATGCTCTCAGGAACTCGCTACTTCAGCGGTGGACTGTATTCAAATCCCTCATCTCCATCGCTACTAATCTTGAGCCCATACATATATCCCTTGGGCATACTCTTTCTGTCCTCGAGGTGACTGTTAACCCTTCACTCTTACCATCCCTCATTATCCAACAATGATTGTCTCCAGGTCGTCAGGATTCTTCGGATCTCCCTTGAGAAGGTTTATGGTTATGATGGACTATTTTTGTCGTCGCGTTCCAAGTGAGGTTTACAGGCTGGACGCCGTCAACCAGATCGCCTTTGAGTGAGTATATGAAGGGGCTATCGCTGGTTTGCTTGGGCACGTTTACCACTGCCGGTAGCGAGGCATATAGAGGTATTATGAGGGTGGCATCTGGGAGGTGCATTTTGCTAGATTAGCTTTTGGCGAGAGTAGTTGTAGATTCTGAGAATTTATACCTGCTCGATTGGCTGTTTATTTAATAGGGGTTTGTTTCCTCTTGCTTTTGGAGCCGTGGTGGTCTCGGTATGGGGTAAACTTTTACAACCGGGGAGGGCGCCACTTTTGGCCTGGGTCCTTAGTTGTTGGTTTTGTACTACAGACCGGGACTGGGCCAAGGTTCCTTAATGGATTCACTGGGTGCAAGAGAGATTGGTTAGAAGATTTTTTCTTGTATGTAGATGTACCAACTAGATATCGTGCATTTCCGGTGACCGAAGAGCTATTGAAACCATGCGAGAGTAGTCCCCTCGTTCACTGATGGCCCGACAAGTTGACTGCATCAGTGAGTGAGACCCTGACATCCCGCGGAGCGGAGAAAGAAGAGAGGCTCGAAAAATCTTGACAGCTCCGTTCACAATAGAATCAACGATTCTCCATATTATTGCCAACAGTGTATGCGCCCCTACATCCACCCAACAAGCCTTTCTATTCATCCAACAGTAGGATTGGGTTGAGCAGGATTAAGCAGCCACACGGGTAGGGCTCTAAATCCACTCATTCATGTTATTAGAAAGACTGCATCTGACTCTGAATCTGAATCTGACTTTGACCCCGACCCTTCCCTCGCCATCCCGGCAGCGTACGAGAGTGCGGTAAGGCCATATTTGTCTACCATATCGAGGTTGACACCTTCCCATGCACGTAGCAGGTTCACAACTGCCTCATGCCCGATTGCCAGAGCCTACCAGATTGGTGTTTGGCCATCACCATTCTGCCTATCAGGGAGGACGTCTTCCCGACCTAGTAACAGCTTCACCACTGCCTCATGTCCATTCTTGGTAGCAAACAAGATTGGCGTTCGGCCATCATCATCCGGCCTATCAGGGTTGACGTCTTCCCGCCCCAGTAACAGCTTCACCACGGCCGCATGTCCATGCTCGGCAGCAAACAAGATTGGCGTTCGGCCATAACCATTCGGCCTATCAGGGTTGACGTCTTCCCGCCCCAGTAACAGCTCCACCACTGCCTCATGTCCATTCTTGGCAGCAAACAAGATTGGCGTTCGGCCACCACGATCCGGCCTATCAGGGTTGACGTCTTCCCGCCCCAGTAACAGCTTCACCACTGCTTCATGTCCATATCTGGCAGCCCATAGGAGCGCTGAAGCCCCCGTATAATCTATACTGTTTATACGAACACCAGCCATCTCCGTCAAATCCTTCACAATCTCAACAAGTCCGAATATGGAGGCACAGTGAAGTCCGGTGAACCCCGAAAACAAATAACGACCAGTAATGGCTTCCAAGAGGAGTTCAATCGATATATGACACTCGTAGTGGCTAAAGAGCCTCAGTGCAAGCGTTTTCCCACCATCTGAGGGCTCCTTTTTCATATGGGCTCCCCAGAATAAGGAAGAATATTTGAGGAAGGATGTGTGTTGAGCACTCTTAAAGCCCAAGGCGGAAAGGGCCACCACTTGTCGCGAATTGAGATACGTCAAGCAGGTCTCCGCGATTGTCGAGTGGGGGCTCTGGAAAAGATCCGGATGAGCTGTTAGATACTCTTGGAGCGTGTAGTGTACGAGTCGGACAGCCGACCCTTCCTTATCCACCACCACAAGTCCTTGACAGCAGCTCAACACCGTAGCGATAGAGGAAACATTGTCGTAAATGTACTCAGTCAATCCGATTTTGACCGCCAAGGCCTGACACAGTTCCTCCGCCCCAAGCGGCCGTTCCGAATGAGATAACCACATCAATGCAGCCATCCCGAGTCTTGATTTCTGACCTCCCTGTGCCTTGATCCGATCTAATGTTGCACCGTAGGCACCTTCCAGGCCCAGCCCATCCGTCATTACCCTAAGCCTTTCTCGCCGCCCATGAATAGTAGTCTCCTGTAGGATCGCATCGAGATTCAAAGAGACCAACAGAAACCTAGATGTATTCTGTCAGCGGATAGCTTGTACAGGGCCTCACATTTAGTCGATCCTACTTACATCTCCGAGACATTTTCCGGAATCTTCTCTACAATTTCCGCCTCTAATCCCTCGTCCATCTCGTCAGAGATTTCATCTTCGTCGAGCTTTGTGTGGATGTATCGAATAATGTCATCCTTTCGAGGACTTATCGATACTGATGCCGCTATCCCAGGGATATGCCTTTCCACCTCACCACCAACATGTGGTCCCCCTGTCATGAACACTCGAGTGGTTGGAGACACTTTGATGACATCCCGGAACGAACGAAGGATCTTGGTGCGCTCTGCCGCACCACATTCGTCCATCGCGTCGAGGCAGAAGAACGTGCGCCGGGATGACGAGAAGCTCCCTAACAGGTTCACGATCTCACGAAGTTCCAGCCTGCGACCACCGATTACCCTTTTCTGCTTCTCGAAGGCATCCATTATTTCTCTCGGAATTTGCCTAAAACCAGCGACAACTTGTTTCAGCAGAGCACCCAACACACTCGTTGCTGACTGCTCCTTTTGCGCGGCAAAGTCGAAATAGAAACATGCCACAGCGATATTCTCTTCTCCGGCCTCGCCGGACCCATCGCACAAGGTATCTATTACCAGTGAACTGAAATTGCAACTTGTCAGAAAAAACATCCCGCTTTTTTCCTTTTCCCTCCGAAATCATGTCTCTCACCTGGTGTGGGTCTTGCCGACCCCCGGATTGCCGGAGCAAAATATAGTCACCTTCTACAATTCACCCTCACCACCACCTCTATGCCAGCTCCGAAACTCCTCTATCCGCAGAAGCCAGTCTCCCACATTTTCTACCCGGTTCTCCCTGATGTACTGATGCCGAAGGTTGGGGTCCAGAGGAGACAACCAAGTCGGGATTTCGGACCGGTCATCGGTGACTGTAATGTTATTTTCGTTGAAACAGTTGCTGTTATTGTTAAGAATGTTGGTGTTGTTGCTGTTATTACCATTATTGCTATTATATCCCGCGGAATCAGGATTATGAGGGAACCTAGTAACAAAACCAGGACCTCCAGACATTTTTGCTGTTCTTCACTCCTCGGAATGGTGGTGGCTAGAGGATAAGTTGGTGAGGTACTGTGCCTGATATGTGTTGGAGTTAGGTGAAAAGATTCCTCAAAGCTGAAGAAAAGCGGGGCACACCACCCCTGCGCTGGCAGCACCGCACCCAAGGACAAAGGCTGAGCTGCTTGAAACCAAAAAGTCTGGGCATGATAGCAATATGATACCAGCGCATCTCCGACCAATCCGCAGTTCAGTACAATCCTCGAGTACCGAGAATGCGACAATATTCTCATTCGCCACCCACGACTCGCCGGTACGGTAATTATCGCTCCAAACACTAATAGTACAGTACAGGTACCATTTTTGTTCCTTGTGTCGCCCCCCCTGTGCTGGTGGGGTGCACCCGCATCATGATGAACAGGAAAGTGGCTCTGATACTACTCGAACACAGCATCTGGCCACTCACGAATGCCATATTTGTTACGAGTATCCAGCAAGTCGAGTTTATCGACGTATCGCAGATCAGCTCGTGAATTGAACCATGCCATTAAGACAAGATACCGATAATTAAGTTTCTGTAACCTACGAGTAGTCAATGCCGATACCGGTATTGCTTGCGCACACGCCAGCAGCAAGTTACGCGACTATCAGTACTCGAGTACTCATTACCAGATACGACAATTTTCAAAATTCTGCCAATCAGGAGAGCTTGTTGCTTATGGCATCCACCCCCCAACATGCCAGAGACAGCAGCAGTTCCCGTACTCAAGTTGTGAATTACAATATCACTTCATGACATGGTGGAGGAGCACGTTTGTTGTCTCACGCATTTGTTATCTTGCCTTTTCCCTCATGCACCAGTGCCGTACTCATACTGTAGCCTACTCGTACAGCTGCGTCGGCAAAACTCCAATACCTGCATTTCAAGTATCACCATCCCCCCCCCCTTCTATTGTTCGGACGAATTGCAGTGGGAGTTTGCCGTGTCCCTAGTGGCGTACCCGACAGGAGTCATCTCAAAGGTCCTCGCTGTTCTGTTTGTCGCTACCGTTCTCGAGGTGCAAGGAAGGGCATGAGCGCTTCACGGACGTGGCTATAGTACCGGTATTGTAAATTACTGCACTGTACCGCCGTTGTCGGTCATACTCGAGTAGGAGGTACTGTACTTGAGTAAAGAAACTGCTAGAACTAAACTGGCCATACGGAGGCATATGCAACCATCTCCCATAACTACGGTAGACTACTCTAGACTATCGCACCTAAGCGGTCTGCATCTCCCGTTTCTGCAGCCTAACTTACTCGAGTAGTGACCTCGCTGCTCACTTATTCCTGTCACTAAGGTTTCACCCTCTTAAAGATAAATAGTAAGGTCTGTAACCACCCCTAACCAACCCCTTCCGCGAATGCAGAAAAAACACCTTTCTTCATAACCCTATACCCTATTAGGGAATCCATCGTGACTCCAGAGATCATTTCCCAACTCTTCACTTTGTCTGGCATAAAGGCAGGTTATGGCGGAACATAGACCAAATTTGTCATATAGTTGACCTTGGACATAATATCAAAAAGTGACATATACTACAAGTCGATAGCTGAGACAAGTTACTTTCCCCCGTTTCCAGTAAATTACCCTACAATTACAACCTCACCCTCAAGACTTTCTCTAACCTTTCGCACAATCAATATTCGAGAGGATGCTCAAAACCAAAAATTACGAAATCACAAGGGATATCTTGAACATGCGCCCGTCCGCCCGCCGCCACTACTAATACGACAACCCAGTCCAAAACGAGCCAAAGGAGAGAAAGAAAAAAAGAGCCAAGTAAACCAACATCTCATCCATCCATCCACCCACCCATCAAACCCAAACCTATCCTACAAAACCGCTAACACCCCCAAATCCTTCTCAAAATCTTCTCGTCGGCCTCGTCAAAGATACCATCTCTCATTCTCCAAACACCGACCAAACTCCCAACGCCTACTCACTCACCCGCAGCACCCCCGCCATTCCGAATCAACAATCAACACTCGCACAACGCCAACCTGGCGAAGAGCAATACGACAAACTCACCGCCCCCTTTAACAAACTCGCTAAATTCCCCCTTGGAGCTGAGCTTGCGCGCCCGGCCAGCAACCAGTTCCACCAGGGCCTCTCTCAATTCCATTTCGTCGCTACGTGCGATGAATACTTCCCGGGCGAACTCGATGACGAGGGATGGGAGCGTTTCCAGCGGCGTCTGAGCGAATTGAGTGCGGAGCTTGTGCAGTGCGAGAGCTGAAAGGGCGGGCATTTGCACGGTTGGGAGGCTGGCGAAGCGGTAGACCAAGAGGTTCGTGTGGAGGATGTGGATGTGGTGGGGTTCCTGGGGCACGGCGGGGGTTTTCGGGGGGGGTTGGGAGGAGAGGCTCGATGAGCGGGAGGTCTTTGGCGAGAGCACTGGGGAGTAGGATGGGAAAGTAGACGCCGAAGGCGTCGGCGGTGGAGAAGGTAACAACCCATTCGGAAACTTGAGCTTGCTACTACTACCACCCTGGGCGCTGTGGTCATTGCCATTCACCTTGGCGGTCTTCTTCTCCCCGTTTTTCTGCTCGGGAAAGTACTCCGACGTGTAGGTCGATGTGTTGTCCGCTTTTTCAAACACCGGCGCGGGCTTACCCCACACGCCTATAGCACCCGCCATAGCGGCGTACATGAGCGGGGAGCGGGGGAGATGCGCCGCTGGCCGAGTGGAATGCAGCAACGGTTGGTCATCAGCTTCTTCCTCCTCTCCCGGCTCACCGGGGAGCACGTAATCCCCCGTGTACAAAAATTCTAGCGCATGATCGAGTGTGGGAACGCTCACGCTCGACGGGTCGAGGAGGACATACGAGTCGCGGGGCTTACGCGATTGTAAGAGCGAAGTATACTTTGCCAGGAGCGGGCGGTGGACGGAGTACGTAAGGTCCTCCTCCCCGGAGTCGCCGGTGGGGAGAATGAGCCGGATTGTCGGGGCCGTTAGGAAACTGTCAAGCAATGTGAGCTTGCGCTCCCGCTGCGCTGTACAGCAGTACGAGAGTGTACATGACGCAGATGCAGAACATCGCAGTAGAACAATGCAGGACAAAGTACTGTACATACCTAGCAATAGTAGAACCAGCCATGGTAATGATAGGCAGAACTCTTTTCTCTTTCCCTTCCTTTTTTCTACCGGCACAGCAGGTATCCAATACCACCACAGTCAGACCAACTCGTTTCCAATCGACCCCCAGTGGGCGCACTGAGCCCTTATGAATTACCTTCCTCCTTACAATGTGAAAAAAAAAAATGAAAAAAAAATTTCCCCTAAGCCCACTCATCGTTTCCCCCCACTTCATTCCCCCCGATCACGTCAATTCACGTGCCCAGGCACTACGCCCCAAACAGCCCGATTCTACAAGTACTAGCATTGAACAAGTGCCCGTACTAGTGCACTACCGTAGACAAAAACAAAAGGCAGGGAAACTCCGCACTGCGGTTACACGACGAGAGGGGGCGAGGGCTGAACTCGAACCAGGGTTCCCTTTTGCTTTTGTTTTCGCGGGGAACCGGAGAGAGTCGCAGTGAGCGGCATCAGTCCTGCCAGGATCGTGTGGGAATTGGCGCATCGCGCATCTTACGATGGTATACCGGTAGTAGTGTGTTGAGTTAATTGGCTGTCCTAGTCCCTAGGAAGAGTGGTAATGGTCAGCGATTGGGGTTGGATTTCGAAGATCTGAAAAGCAGTACGAGTACCGTAGTCGAGGTTTCGCCTTACCGGGATGAGGCTCCAGACTTTGGCGAATTTGCTGGATTCCGATCACGCAATTTGGTATCACGTGTCGTTCTCAGTGCCAAGACTTGCGGAATCAACTACCGGTACAGTGCTCGAGTATGATATGGCTTTGTTTTTCGGGTTCAAGAAGGAAGAGTGTTGAGAACGAGGGATCGGTGATGGGTTTTTACGAATGCCGAGAGATGATGTCTCCGACAGAGAGCGTGGTGCGACCGGCATTGTCCAGGCTCCCTTCGCTGGCTGTCCTGACTCGTGGGTGTCGTATTAGTAGAATGGGACACGGGGACTACAGTACGGTACTCGGCCGGTTTCCGTTCACCACCTTTGCTCGAGTGCGCTCGCACGCCGTCAGTTAACTAGAACCCGAAAAACGGCCAACCTACTCCGTCAGACCATTCAGTTTACAACGAATATCACCCCTTCCACAGCTCAGCATGTCATATCGCCTAAATATCCAAATCTCCTCGATGATCCAACAGTGACGGCCGTAAATTAACGTACTTCTATAACTGCCACCATAACACCACCCACCAATCTACTACTGCTCCACCCGGCTCCCAAAACCCCCTACTGTACCACCCGACAACCTCCAGACTTTTGTGCACAATCAGTCACTCGTTGGTCCCTTTGCCCAGCAACTAAACCAATTGTGCCCCTGATTTCCCCTTATGCTATAGACCGGCCAGTCCGTTGATCGGCTACGACAGTACGTCTCCAGAGCGAAGGGTGGGAGGGAGATGGGAATTGGTTTAAATTATGCCAGGCTAAAGCAGATGGAGCATAAAACCGGCGATACTCGAATCCCACTTCCTGGTGTATCCCAGCCACCCCTATCCTCCAATACGATATCCCCGGGTGTGTCCACGGCCAACCCCCAGAGCAGGTACGATATTGTGAGGATGCAAAGTCCGAGCAATGCTTTATATCCCCCTCCTTCCCACAGTTCATGACCTTACCCCGCCCTACTAAACTCAAACAACAACCGCCGCAGAAGTCCCCCGAGACCTTCTCACTGTCCAAAAAATCTATTATCGTATACCCTTTGAAATACCGCCATCCCATTGCCGGTCAGCCCGTCACCCCCTAGCGCAGCAATGTTCCAGACATCACAAGACGCAAAATAATGAAAAATAGACACCATCGTACACTACGGAACTACAGTGCGTTTTTTCCCGATGGGGGTGTAAAGAGGGGGAGGAATCGACGAGCAGGAAATCCTAGGGTCAGCGCTGAGAGCCCTGGTGCCGGTGAACAGCCGCTCTGTTATCTCCTGGCGGTTGCGCGGGGGTTGTAGGGGCTGTACGGGAGGGAGATGCATGTTGCGGTGGTTTTGGTGGCGCCTGCTGCACATATTATACAAGTACCGGCCGGTTTGCTGGTGGTTGCGGTTGGCTGGACGGTCCGGTCTATGCAAGTACTAGTACATTGTCCCGCCGGGCAGTACTCTATTGCCCAATCCTTCCTGGCTTCCATGTGATGCGGCCTGCCAAAAGACGATCTAGCCTCCCCCCCCCATATCGTCCATTTTATTTGAATGCCTATGGAGTGTATGTTAGCTCAAATACCGGTATGTCGAATTGAAAGTGGGGATTATCAGGATGAAGGCTACCGTTGAAGTCTTGTTGGGAGACTGAGGACCCCTACAAGCCTTGGTCAGAGACAGTCTCATGAGTATAATAATAACCATCCGCCAAATACCACAGTTACCCTGTATGCATACATAACGTATTAGAAGTCCTCCATCCCCCCACATACCTCCCTTATCATAAAAGCAGGGACTGTCAGGGAACAGAGGAGCTGGGGTTCAGGAATTTAAAACCAGTGCGAGAACATGATGGAGCTAGTGGGGCCTGTTTTGTATCCATGTGCGCTGACAGCAGACAGCATCCGCACTTCTGAATTCGCCAGCGAGATTGTATCGGTAACACATCAAGAAAGAAAAATACTCATTTTCCCAGCCACACCAGTAGCTAAAATCCGACAGTCCTCCGGCTCCAGCCTTGCTTCCTTCCTCCCCGCATGCGCCGCCACAATGCTCCGCACAGTATAGTACATCCCCCGTCGAATCCGGAGTATGACTATACGGCAATGACAAACTCCCCGTCCTTGCAATCCCCGTATCTGAATTCTCAAACACGCAAATGGCACACCCCTCCGCATCGGAGTCCAGACCCATCACGATGGCGAGTTTCATGCCGCCGAGCACAGATTACCACGGGCACTTGGACTCTTGTGCGCGGGTGGCGGGAGTAGCCGTTGCACAATACCCGTGCCCCCGTGCGGAAGCCGCAGCGAGGGTACGCGCGAGTTCACATTAATCCAAGCGCTACGGCGGCAGGTGGCTTTTCGATAGCCGGTGCTCCTGCATGCGTTGCTGTTGCTGCGCCTTACGAGTGATCCGGTCGTGGAACCTGCATCGGGAGACTGCTATTGTGTTGCTTGCTTGTGGTACGATATGTCTAGAATGCTGGCATATCCCTTTGTACTCAAGCGTTAATTAGCTTCATGTCCTCCTAGAAATTGCACGGGAGCACACATTCCCACCCGTCTGTTCTATGGCTGAGAAAATCACGATAAATCGACGCACACCCTCTTCGCGCCATCCGGGAAGCAAGATCAGGAAGACCTAGGCATGATATTAAACACAAAATGTCCAAGTATGAAATTTCCAGCATCCCTAATCCCGAAAATACCGTTATTAAGGCACAAATTTGCCCCCCCCCCTCCCGCGCGCACCTACAGTATAACGCTCTTAGTGAATTCTATATTGGTTGCTCGGTAGCTGCTGAGCAGCTATGGATAAAAACGAACGCGGCCGGTGTCGTAGCCGATAATTTGATGGATGGGTACGATATGATCCACTGCCGCCTGTAGCAGGATGTCAGGGTTAGGTTTTAGGAGTCAGCGGTTCCTACAGGGCGGAGAGTCGCGGCCTCCCCCGAATCCCTGGGTGCGGATAGTACGATAAGCAGATTTACAGGAACGCAATGGTCACAACAGTAACTAAAATGGCAACCAAAGCATGATGCCCATTAACGAGCCCTCCGTTCAGTCCAACCCACCAATCCTCACTCGCCCCATTACCAGTCCCGCCCCCACAGACCGCAAAGCAACCAACCGATCGCGGACACTATACTTGCACATACACCACCGCACCGTGATACGCCGACTGCTCCGCCCTCGCACCAGCGGAAAAACCGGGGCAGAAAGCAGTCGGAGGAATAGATACCGGTACGTGCATACAGCACCCGCATCGATCCGAGAATGGGGGATAAAAGAAATAAAATTATATAAGTTATCATAGATACAGTTCCTATTTGTGTACAGTACAGTACAAGAAATCACAAAGAGGCCTGCGGCCTCACCACCCACCCGTTGTCCATCCCCATCCCGGCGGAAATGTCTTGTCGAGGGCGGATCCAAGCTCAAATTTTCACCGTGGGGAAAAGGCTGCTGGGTCTACGCTGTCAACCATACCATGCAATAGATGGCCCGTGTATATGATGTTATGCCCACTTCCCTGGTTCCGAGAGGCCTGTGTGTCTTGTCCATCCAGAGAGCTAATTTACCGCATGCGGAAGTCCAGTGATAAGAGTGCGGGTGCGAGACAGCTGTAGGGTTGGTAAGCTGCTTACGCCAAAGTCCCCACAGCACGGGTAACTTGAATCGACAGGTGGGGGGAAGCGAGTTTTGTCTCTGCCGGTTTGATATAGAGTTTGACGGCGGCGTGATACCATAAGACTCGAGTATGCGGGTCGTAATATTTCAAGCGAATGAAACTTCTAGGTTAAGTTAGCCTTCATAACCGCGGTGTCATGAATACAGTAAGTGGTTTCCGCGTACTGTTAGGTATGAGAATGGACAGAGAGTGGTGGTTACGTGTTGTCAGTATATAGCCGGGAGGTATCGTCATCAGCACTCAGATAGACTATGGGCAAGGGGACTACCCCTATATGTAGCTAGTTCAGGGGATTCCCGAGAGAGGGCGAACGAAGACAAGAACACCTCCGAGCAGCAGTGGAAAGTCTCTGAGTTTCTGAGAGGTTTTCAGTTCCCGGGTCGAGAGATCATCGACCAGTGAATTTCCATCATCTCCATCTAACCAGCGTTAGTGACTTTCATCTGCTCTCTACTCTTGACCTTTCTGCAATCTGCTTGGAGACCTACTACTGATTGTTGTAATCAAACCTAAAGAGGTGAGAACAATAAACTCCCGGTGAGGCTAATAGAGACCACTTCAAGGTTACCAGAGAATTGGTCCATCCTCTATTGTGGGTCACCGTTTACCTGTTTGCCATTGCCCGAAAAGAACACCGCCCTCCTCAACCGAGGATCCACAGTACTCTACCAGGCACTGCACCTGATGCGGCATCAGTAAACATATACATATGGAGATATCATACTAACAACGTGCAAAGAAAAATCAGTACTTGCAGCAGCCTTATATAAAGTGCTATGCGGGATCTATAACCCTCGGGCCCCGTAGCTCCACCTCCAAGCACCGCATACCATCAGCACGACCGAGAAGAATATCTTACAAAAAGAGACCCCACGAAGCCGGGATGTAAGCGGTAATCCCACACCCACTTACTCCCACTTCCAGCTCCTCGGGTACCTTCACCACCAGTTGGAACCCGTATCACACCTCGGCCATAGGACTCCCTAATAATCCGCTCTGGGAAAATATCCTCCAGGATTACTTTGATATTTCTGATTGTCTGGTTGGGTGCTCCGCATCCAGTCGATATCATTAAACACTCTGTATGACAAGAATTCGAATCTACCGAGACTGGGGGTCTGACTTGTGGGATCATTTCCAGGACTTGAGAGGCGGAGATGGGGGCGGCTTGCCGGGAATACTTGTACGTTGTGCTGGGCATGGACTTACTCCGTAGGCTTTCGGGGGGGGGGGGTTAAAGCTCCGGTTGTACAAGTATTATCGCTGCTTGGATGTACTTGTATAATTTAGAGACACGGACACCTCGCTAACTGAACTCCCTTTAGGAGGATCTCACGTACAAGTACTATCCTGACCATAACCGAGAACGGTGGGGGTAGGTATTCTTGGGTAACTACCGCATTGTACTCGTACAAGTAAAAACTCTTGCGATTCGCCGTGGCTGGAGGTCCCTGTACTGTTAAATGGCGGATCAGCCCAGGTTAGGATAAATAAATTATATTGAAGGTTAGGTTTAGTCCGGCAAGTTGACGGAATTGCGAAAAACCAATTAACTTTAATGTGATCCAACATAGCCATCTCAGGTACTCAAGCTATACCGCGCTAGGAAGGTACCAATCCTTCTCTAGAGCTTGTCATTGGGTCACTAGATTAGCGGGGTGGGGGCGGTGGGGAATCGTAAGGGTTTTTACGGAATCATAAACTCGTAATCGTAATCGTAATCGTAACCGCTCCCAGTGAACCACCCTGCTGGGATAGCTGAACTGTCCAACCTTTTAAATCTTTCTTTAATACCAACCGCGAGATAAGGTCTCCCTCCCAAGTCCTATGCTCAAGTAAAATGCTACGGTACGGCAATGTGCTAAGCATATTCCATATACACTTTAAAGCAATCTTAAATTGCATAACGATCCAAGAAGTCAGTCATCTCCCCCAGTCTTATGTACCAAAATGTCGCCTTTAGATATCCGTGTGATGGGACGCGTATATGCTCGCACCCCAGCGCTTTCCAGGCCATCCAAACGCACTCCGTACCAAACGTCGCACCCGCACAGCCAAAATAAAACCCAGCCCAATATGTACCAATTCGTCGTCACAAACCATCACTCGAATTACTAAATTTCTTCCATTAAATGTTGCACCGCCGTGATTTTATTCCCCCCAGAAGCGAAAAGCCCCCCCTACAACGTGCTAAATTTATAGGTCGCTTCCCATGTGTACGTCTCCCCGGGCCCGTAGATCTGCTTTCTTCCCCATTCCGGACTTATCCCGGTTAGCACAAGAGTGGCGCACCAGAAACTGAGGAAGGGATTAGACATACTGATTGATACCGTCAACCCAATCATGCGGTTCAAGCGCAACGCACCCGCTAGGTTTCATGAACCCGTCTGTTGCCGCTCCCGGGCCTCCTTGTGTCTTCTTGATGGGCAGATCACCTATTCTAATAAATCACGCTGTTCCCGCCACAAAATGGGGAACAAAGAGTCACAGTACTTCCCGTCCAATAACAAGTATACACTTGCATCCCAGCCTGATCAGTGTAGATATCAACCTTGATCCCACTCCATGCACTGCTTAAGGTCGCGACGGGCGCGGTGGCTTGGGATGTCGGCTTATCGACGATCCAGCAATTATTATATCCCTCACAACCGCTCTCGCTTCCGCAATTCCCCTTCCAGAGTGGGTCATTACTACCTGCGCCGAGGAGCCTGGGCCCTGACCAAAAGTCATTGATTTCACCAGCGGGAATGCTGATAATTCGCCCGGTCGGAAGCATGCTCGGATCTGGCTCCAGGAGGCGTTGGGAAAATGGCATGTAATAAGAGTGATTCCAGATTAGGTCGGTGTCCGGGTTGCCGAATGCGTCGAGGTTCCAGTAAGTGTGCTGGGTCAACATCAATGCTATCGTAAAGTCAGTACCTGACAGTACAGGGGAAAGCTACGCGGCGTACGGGTCTTGTGCTGGGGAGCAGTTGCCTCCATCTTTACACTCCAAGTCTTCTGCGAGAGCGTATAAGTGATGTAGCCGTCCACGTCCCCGGGCATTCCCATGGAGGAATTGCTAGCATCGTGGATAGAAAATGTGATGGAATTCTCGCTGAGGGCGGCAACATTAAAAGTCCTGTACCCCCATCCATTGCGCCCGGAGTGAAGGGTATTATTTCCGTCAATCTTATCCAAGTAATAGGTAACACCGTCCATGGTGTACTGGGCATTCCCAATACGATTCGTGTACCTCCCTGGAACAGCACCGTAGTGTCCTAACCCGTGCGCAGCTGGACTCGCGTTGGCCATGCTTCCATTGAGAGAAGGATATAGGCTTACGGTATTCCGAAACATCGTCAAATCCGATGACGATATCCCTCTCAACTCCATCTGCACCCTCTACAAAGAGGTTCGTGATTGCTGCTCCAAATGGGATGAACTGCCACAACCTGTCAACCCTGTTCAATTGACGACATCGGAGTGGGATTACCTGGGCACGAATACCCTCTGCAGTGAGAGTATACTTCCCATCAGGTCCCGGCGACGGGATGGCAGCACCCTGGACAGCCGAAAAGATTATGAACAATACCGAAAGGGTCTTCATGATTGCGCAGGTTGTCTAAATCTGTCGATGTCATTGAGCTGCTTAAATACAGGCTTCGGGGAGAAAAGGTAGCAGCCCGGAATTGCTTCTGGCTGACGCCAGGAAGCAAGGAGGCATAAGTTAAGTTACGGGTATCCGGCATGAACCAGAACACTCGAGTCTGAATTTAGTGCGGGCTCTCAGAGGTGCGCAGATAATTTGCCACACAAATCCTCAATCCCTTGTGTCCGGGTACGGTAAGGACTCTGGCAAATCAACTACCGGTATCAGATTATCACTGGAAAATCAGCTTGCCAGCCCACAATAGGCTTAGTTCGATGGGTTACCGGTACTTGTAGGAGAGTTGCGAAAGCCGGTAAATAAGAACCAAGACATCTACTATAGCAGGCCGACATTTTTACCGTGTCTGGAAAACGATGATTCTTCTCAAGAGTGTTATCACAGGATCGGGGGAGATAAGTGGAATATCCCATAGTCCATTGGGCGCTGCGCCTAGGGGATCCAGTCAAGAAAATAACGGGATCTAGAAAGTATCCTTCCTTAACTGGGAACAGCTTTACTATAATATGGTTTCAAACTGAGACCGGTCTCCTAGGCGCTCCAACGGACGGAGGGATGAGAGTTTTTTTTACGGTACTTTATACCGAATACCGTACTTACACATGAGCAAGTATTTCCTTCCAGAAATTAATCCCATCAACGTTACACTATTCAGGTACGATTGCAAGGGATACACGTGCTACCTTCCAAACAAGACACCAGGGACGAAAGTGCATATGCTCATGCACGGAACTGTACCCGGGCTTGGGCCGTTGGCCCAGGCCGATACTGAATAGGCTAATGATAACTGACCCGAGCCAAATAGTACTAGTGACAGTACTGTACCTGTAGCTTGCGTGCTCCCGGAAGAGCCGATAGCGACGAATGCTTTCGATAAAAGTAATGAATATTGTTACTGAGAATTTGATATTGGAGCTCAGGGATCCCAGACCGCGAGCAAGAACCTGTACTGTACTACGACGCGGATGCGGTACTCGTACGAAGCTGAAGACGAACTATTCATAGACACGACACGGGAGCTGATCCTGGCCCTCTGTGGAGGAAAACCTAAATGTCCGTCCGGTATTCATAACTCCCGTGCCCATCGGCTAGGGACCAATTTCCGAAATCCAAACGCTCTCTTAGCATAATTATGCAGTTTAAGTGAAAGCTGGCAGTCATGGCGAAGCGCGGTCGCGCTTGCTGTCGCTGAATCCCGCGAGAATTTCGAGTAAGGTGTAAGAGTAAACCGAGTCGCGCAGGTGACCCGGAGGAAGGCTATGAGAAGGGAAAAGACATCTACGGTAGTGCCCCCCCAACAGCAACAATTGACCCCTGATCGCATTGAGGTCAGGATGTTATAACAGCAATAATTTCTAATCATTGGGAATAGTCTTCGCTGATAATTCAGGGGATGTCGGGTTGAATGTATTCTATGATACGAGGGAAGAGGGGTAACTTACTTACATGCTCGTTAACAGCAACGGTAACGATAACCGCGTCTATTCTCAACATCCCCGAATACGGTAGTTAACGGACTTGAATAACTCCGCCACCTATTAAATTATCGCAACACTATAAAGAACCAGCAATATAACTTTCAACTCAAGGTCCAGCCAGTGGTGTCGTACAATCGGAAAGCAGTTATGAGCTTCAAGGGTCTAGGGGCTACCATGAGCGATGTCATCTCACTTTATAAAATATTTGACACCCGTTTCTTTTTATCACAAGCGACCTTGATTGGTTGCTGAGCAACTTCCGCGGTTCTTGGCGCCGCTAGACAGTATCAGCAGTACCAGTTGCAATAGCACGCATTTGCCGGGCCATGGGAGGACCAGGCACAGGGTTGCCTTCTCTCACGGAGACGTCGGAGAGAATGGCCTACTTGTATCGTACAATAGATGAAAGAGAGTGGCTAGAATATTTTCAAGATTGTCCAATCACTAAAAGATACTAAAAACAATGGATTTTTTCAGAAGTTGGAAGAAATGGACATTGAAATAAACGACGCACAAACTAGTCCACCTTTCTTCCCGGCTCAGTCCCCTCAACAACACCTCTATCACCAGTCCCACCCCCTAAAAGCCCACCATCGCCCCTGTTCTCCTCGGGAATGATCCAATTGAGTACAACTCCTACTATTGCAACAAGACAATACGCTGTTCTGATCACCACGCTGATCCCATCATAGAACCCTTGAAGACTTCCCCCTTTTCCGCTTGGCAACAGATGCAATAGCCAGTCCGGCACAATCAAATCTGCTAAACCAAGTGTCAACGCGGCTGTGACGATAAATCTATTGCGCCTGTTCCAAATCACTGTGGAGAGTATCCGAAGGCCAGAGACTACAATCGTGGTAAAGAGGAAGGTTGTCATTCCCCCGATTACGCTGGGCGGAAGGGCGACTATTGATGCGCCGAATTTACTAGCAATGCCTGCAAGAAGCAGGAAAAAGCAACACGCGTAGCCTGCTCTGCGAGAGGCACAGCCCGTCAAAGCGATTACTCCCTGGGGAGGTCAGTTGGAGTACGAAAGAGTGGGGAAGAATGATTACATTGTTTTGAGCAAAGCAGACAAGAGGGGTACATGTTCCTAGAGCTGCAAGGACACTCCAAACCCCGTCGGCCGTCAATCCCCCTTGAACCCGCGTGTCCAAATCGCTGCTCGTTCCGTCTATATCTATTCCGCTTACCTCGGCGGTAGCAATGACGTCGCCAAGACAGCTAACGAGTGTCGTGATACAGCAGGCAAGTAAGGGCAACACAAGACTCCCGTCCACGGATAACGGGAATGTCTTGACCCAAATAAATGTACCACTCGGAGCGGAAGTAATGTTCTTGGTGTCGATGAAGCCAGTGGCGGCGGAAATTATGGCTCCAACTAACAGTCCAACTGCAACGGAGCAGTTCCGAATCAAAGGGGCTCCGAAAAGCTCCACCAGGAGGATGGTAATATATACAGAGAAACCTAATCCAATAAAGGAAGGGTCGCCCCAAGGCCGTGGTTCGGGTGCTTTGATATTCGGGCACAACTTGAAGAATCCGGTTCCGGGTCTCGCCATACCTGCTCTTATCAGCCCTATCCCTTCCTTCTAGCCCAGCGAAACTCACAAGGACCACTGCCGCCAGCCCAGCTCTTCACCCCACTAGCAACCAAGGATCCCCCAATGCAGAGCAGGACCATCCCGGTAACCAGGTTGGGGAAGATCTTCATTAGAGTCCTGGGCTTGATGAGGCTAATTAGGATCTGAAACAACATGACAACTGCCACAGTCCCAATAAAACTACCATAGGCATCCGGGCATGGCTGCTTAACACCGTTTACCAAAGAGCAGTGACCATCCTCGTACTGTCGGGAAAAGTATGCCTGGGCGATAGGAACTACGGCAAAGGCTTCCCCAACAACTGATATCATACCCGTGCCAATGTAGAACCCGGTATTAAAGACTTTAAAGCGCATGATCTGGAAGATGCTGAATATCCCAGAGAGGATCAGGGATACCGAGACCAGGTAGGAGATGGTCTCGGCATCGAGATTTGCACCTGATGCCCCAGCAATCAATAATGGTGGAGTAACGACTGTAAACCCATTAGTTAACTCTTTACATGGCCACACGAGCACAATACAGACCACCGCCCATCATGGCAAGTGAATGCTGCAAACCCAGTAACACGGTCAACAGCAACGGTATCCTCTCATCGATGCCGTAAAAGGGCTTCACCCGATCTTTATACTTTCGATTAAAGGGGGGAATATCCGGCGTCAATAACCAGGCATAGCTACCGTCCTCCCGTTAGCAGAGTTCAATTGGGAACGCGTGGAAACGGAGATGGTAAACCGACTCATAATCCCCAAGTAAACCCTCTCTAGTGGTGAACAAGAACTTTATCTCTTCCCAAGCAGTGACGAACCACCTTTCCTCGACATTTTTTTCCGTGGGAACATAACTGGCGACTGGCGAATTGGCAACGTCCTCCTTAGCATTAGTCACGTCCATGTCGTTAGTTCGTTCGGTCATGTGTCGTTTAGTCCAGTGTAACTGCCATCCGATGGAGAAGAAAAAAAAACACTGGGAAATGGGAAATACACCACTTTATAAGTACCGGTATGTGTTAGAATACTAAGACCAGAGGGAGCTCTAACATAGAATCCAGAACCGAGCACACGGTCCACCAGAATATTTTCTGTACTTGTACTGTACCTCTATGCATATCACAGAGAAGGCAATGCTCTTCCTACCCTTCCTCCTGGCAATATAACCCCCACACACACACAAAGCCAACAAAAAAGAAAAAAAAAGCGCAATACTGTAGGTTATTAATTACCACATCGGCACTCAAACTGTGCTCACAGCAAAAAAGAAAATAAGCAGAAAATGATGGCGGACATGGTGATTGCCGCGATGTTGAAATAGACTTGCCGGCCGAGCAAGATACCCGAACGGAAACCCGATGGCTCGTTTGTGATGGTTCCAACCGTGCCAATGTTGCAGAACGCGCTTCGCATCTCCCATGGTTGCGGGGGTGTGGAGAGTAAACAAGCATTTTCGGGGATGGCATCATGCGATCGATGTTCAAGGCCAGGATGGTACGAGTACCGGTAGAAGATTGGGTTTGTCTGTTCCCATGATATCTGGGGGGGGTTGCTCAACTTGTGCCACAAGTACTGTGCTGTGCTGTACAGTACTGTACTAGTACAGTACAGTACCAGGATAGTAGCATAACAGCATCACGGAAGAATAAAACACACCCCATGATCGCACCCGAGCATCACTCCCAACCAATGATGAACTAACCAAACCAACCTAAACTAGGTACTGCACGGTAACTTTATTCACTACACGATAGATAGCGAAGCCTTCATAAAACCTCACTCGCCCTCCCTCCCTCCCTTGCTTCCCCTCGCCCGCCGGACCCACCACCACCTTACCAAACCTGCGCGATGCCCACATCGCACCAACCGAGCCCATACCGGCAGCATTGTAACACTTATGTAACAGCTTGCTTATCGACTTATCTACCACCACTCGAACAGTATCCGAGAATGTCATTATCCTGACCGATGCGTTGAACGAGCGCGCACGCACGTTGAAGCTTTTACCGTACTCGCTATACCACCGACACAAAACATACTCGAGTAACCGTACGTGCTTTAGCTTGATACCTACTTTCCCGCTTGCTTGCTTGCCCCCGATCGCCCCGCTACATGATAGGGCGCTTTTGCATGAGCGCTGTACTGCAGTGGAGTGCAGATGGTTCCCTGAGCGAGCACGGTCAGTCAGTCGGGGATTACTCGTAGGGTATTCCGGTATCGCCGGGATCTGGTGGGGCGGGGGATGCATGCTGTGCAGTAAGGTTACTCTAGCAGAGGCGTCCCATTCCAACAGTCTATTATACCCCCCATAAATTTTTTGTACTATGCTTTCACAAGTGCAACCGGAACTTTGATCCCTCGAGTAAGAGTCTACCAGTCCTGCTCCTGCTGAGTTACCCCATCACCCCCGCCGATCACAACGTCGTGAGGAAGGCCCCGGCGGCAAAAGCTCTGAGGAGGGTTGGCGTTTTCCTGGCATCGTATGAGCCCGCTGGATATTAAATAACTAGCGCTCGAAATTCTACTGACTTGCTGAACCAAAATAGACTAAACCTATCCCGGCTCGAAACGCTGATTTGGCTGATAATCTGATAAAAGCGTTTAGAGAGGTTCATGGTATTATCATAAATTTACGGTCTTTTCCGGCGTTGCGAGATTCTTGAGTCGCGAGAGTGGCGGCAGAAAAATGGAAGTGTGTGTGATTACAAGCTCACACTTAACCTAAAACAGAACAAGTGACTCCAAGACAATCAGCTGAAGTATGACCAACAATGGTGCAAGATCCAGGTACCAGAGTAGTAAATATAAATGGTCTGCATATCATGTATTTAATAAAAGTATTTTGAACCCCTTACTATATCCTCCATAAAGCAACATTTATTTAAATGCCTGTTCTTTCAAAACCTTTACCCCTTTCCAAAATCTTTAGTCTTGACCAAAAAAAACAAAAACATATGGTGATAACATGGATTGAAAGAGAACTTCATGATGGACCTACTCCAAACTGGAAAATGAATGCTGAGGCTTGTGGAATTGCATATTCAACTTTATGCCATGCAATAAAGGGTCGTGGAGGTAGGAAAGAAGGAATAGAATAGAAGTGTAAGTTAATAGTAGGTGAAGAGAAGACAGTTCTAGACCGATGCAGTTTGTTGAGCTCGTGGCTTCAGCCTACTTGACATGAAGCAGTGGAAGATATGGCTCATAGTCTAATACAATTGTGTGAGCCAGAAGGAACTATCAGAAACCATTGAGTTTACAATTTTATTAAATGCCATGCCTTGTAAGCAAATAATTCTATAGTACTGAATATGTACTTTGATCATATAAGTAGCTTTTATCTGATTTATAACTTTATTATAATTTAAATTAATATTATATATTTAGTTAACAGAACTTATCAACTGCTATAATGTACAGCCAGAAAATCTGTACAACTTTGATGAAATTGGGCTTCTGATAAGTGCTACCCATTCAGAAAAAGTTGTTGATGTTCAAGAATTGGGACTTAACAGAGCATTACAATCATTTAGTATGTACAGTTTGGTGACAAAAGTTATCATTAATAACCACTTTTATACCAAAAATGATATTTTTCACTGTGCCATAATTCACCCACCTGTGGTAGAAGTAGTTCAATTCTTCCTGAAATAATGATCTTAGGTGTTCTAATTCTGAGATTTGAATTTTAAAGCATATGGTTCAATATTGTGTGAACTGTAGCAATGTGGAATTGGTGATTTTGGGAGCAAGTATTTTTTTGTATGAGTGCCTATACAAATTCTTGGCAGTTAGGTTAGATTTTAGAATAGGCCACACCAAGTACTAAGAGCTGCTCACTGAACAAATGATTTTATCATAGAAATATGAATTTCAGAGTTCCTAGGTTGTCAGCTATCTATTGATATCTTTTTTGTTTTAATTGATCAAGAGGTGAGGATGCAATTTGTGATTTGAATTACCTTGAATTTAGACTATTTTGGGATGTTCTAGAGGTACTTAGACCCGCCAACAATGACTTTTATCCAAGAACTATAAATAATTAAAGAATTATATTTATACTTTACTTATATACAAATAGATGGTGATTGAGAAATGGCAACAGTAATTAAGGGAATATGCACTGATGGAAGTAATATAAGTCCTATGATTATCTGTAAGGTAAAAGGATTTCATATTGGTTGGTTTGATCTATCACTACTATTTCTAAAAGATGTTTTACGTGACTATTCACCCAATAGATGGACAGACAATAAGATAGGATTAGGCTACCTAATAGATCACTTTGGTCCAAATAGCATATCAGCAAAAAAGTTGAGTCGTCAATAGTGAATTATTCTATTCAATAGTTATGAATCTCATGTATCGCATGGGTTCCTACTGTACTGCATTAATACCTATATTATTGCATTCTGTCTACCTCTGCATAGTACAAATCTACTTCAATCTCTCGACATCAGTATCTTTGAACCCTACAAGAACTATTATGCTCAAATACTAGAAAAAGAATTTTATTATGGAAGATATGGTGTATCAAAAGTCCACTTTTGGGAGTTCCTTTCACAGGCACAAGAAAAAGCATTTAGAGTACAAAACATCAAATCTGCCCTCATAACAACTGGTGTTTATCCACTTGATGGATATACCGCACTTCCTAAAGTTCCATCCTATAACCCTGTTATGCATATGATTATTCTAAGATCAGGTACAATGATTTACCAGACTCAACCTTGAAAAAGCCTTCTGACACTCAAGCTTTCTCCCATGTTTTACTTCAATCTGAACCCGTACTAGTATGTAACAACCAGGTTTCCAAACTCCCAACCGGCTACACAACTTCTCTTCTTCAAAGACAAAGCCAAAGGCCAAGTGGCTGTTTGGCAAAATTCACTAAACATGTTTTGCAAACAACACTCTGCTGAATACCCTGTAATTTAGAGCTATTATCTAGGTCTTTTAGTATAAATAACTATTAGAAGATAGATTTTTTAATAATAATATTATCCTAAGTCAATTGAATTTCAAAAGTAATAGTAAATAGTTATAGCAATTAATCTTCATAAAGGTTTTACATTCTATTTCAATCATACTTACTTTAATCCATTACCTCTATTAATATTCAACAAGGTCAATACTTGCCTCTAAGTTAGATAATATAGAGGATGACAAGATCCTCGAAGTCATTGAAACAATTTTTATCAGCTCCATCGCAATTCAAGCTATATCAACACTGGTCTTCCTTTGAAATCAACTATTAGACAAAATTCCAAGCGCGCGACTACTTAAACATACATCTGCTCTAGCTGGACAGATGTACGCTGAAGAAATTCTGAAGTCGACCCATTCAGAGTGAATACATGAGTGTTTCCTCATGTGAGTCGAAGTTTTTACAAATATTTACAGTCACTTTCACCTCAAACAATACTTGAGGGATACATGATATACTAGCATTGAATATCAGGTTCATAAATATTTAGAATACCAGGATCCAATACCTAGGAATCACCCTAAGTAGGGTAAACTCACCCAGAAGGAAAATTCCTGGTCTTCAGCACCCCCCTCTAGCCCTTTTACAAGGCCCACACGTTATCATACGTATTAATCTCTGTTACATCCTGTGACTATAATACTGCAAGATTAAAGGTGTTAGAATAATACCATATACATTGTGGCCATCTATCTGACCAGATCCTGTTTGCAGGATATATGAGAGGGGACCTTTAACTAGGTCTGGGAAGTGGAACAGAATAGGTCCGTCAATAACTCAGAGAGTTACTAGGCTTGAAAGACATAACACATTTAGGATAGACCAAAATTAATAGGATATTTTTGCAATAAGAGATGGTATCGAATGGTAAAGGATTTCAACAAGAGACCAATACATTCCCATCCACTCTACAATAACTAGAAGAATCTAGAACTCCGAAGAACACTACCATGGAAGCTAATGGACTTTAAGGTGTATTGAAACTAGGTTTCTAAACATGTTGTTGCTGAGATGATTCTCAATACTATAACAGCGATTGAAACCCTATTATCTAAAGCATCCAATAGTTGTGGACCGAGGAAATATTTGCCGATCTGGTGGAATAGCTTTCTGCGAATCAGTAGGAAGTCCTCTAGAAGATATTTATTAGTTGTG